ATTTTACAAAATAAACATATAGCTTTTTTTATATACTACACACTTTCTTCAGGCCTTTATATACTAAGTTATCCCAACCAGACATTTTTCATCCTCTCCAAATACTCTCTAAAACAGTTTTAGAGGACATTTTACACGCTTAAGTTCCTGATCATCCAATTTATTAATCTACTTGTAGCATCCAGAGTCATTGATGTAAAAACTAAACACTTACGAAATATTGCTATACGTTTTTAACCGATTGTACAAGTTTTTGAACAATTCTTGCTCCCAAATAAAAAGTAAAGCTGTATCATCTCTGTAACAACTGACAGGTTTAGTAGGGTGAATCATCTGCTCTAATGAATTCAGTTCAACACCCGGTCACTGGTTACAGTTACATTACCAGAAAGGAAAGCCGTATAGGCTACATGGGTACTTTGTATGGCTGCCGTCAGTCAGGATGTGCCGTCAATACTGACTATAGATTGGATCAACGGAAACAGTGAAGGAACTAAGACACTGACTTGTGGGACGCTGAGTCATAGTCACTACTGGATTTGTAACGAAAATATGTCATTATTGGTTAGGTTAGGTGGAAAATACTCTGACAAAAGTGAAATAAAAACACAGAAAGCATGTATAAAGTATTTTCAAACTCTTTTATTATTTTTAAACTTTTGGTTTAGTAGATTTCGTAACGGAAGGAATGTTTTCTCTGGTATACAGCATGTATTGTGTTAATGTTTAACATTTATGCATTTTTATTTTCCTAAGTTAACAAAACGACATAAACTGAGTCCAGCGTTAAATTTGTCTCAAAATAAAATAAACAATTTAGGCGTGGAATAAACTCAAATATTTTTTTTGTTCAGTTTATGCAACAAGTTTAAGCGTTTGACACTCATTTCTTGTTATTGTACTAAATTAATAACTATTACGATAAAATATAAAGAGTGACTTTCATCTTTTGCAAGTAATCCGGTATTATTACAAAAGGGTAAGGCATTTATTGTTAAATTCGCCACAGGATAAAACAATTTGCTTAAAAACTAATTCAAATGAAACACACACAAATATGCTTCATATTTTACAATGAGTGTTAGTGTATCCCATAGTCTACATATAGCACTATCATCCCAAGAAGCAGGCAAAAAATGAATATTTCCTATGCAGCCAAAAGGAAATTAGTTGAAGTAATGTTCCCTGAGAACATCCTAAATGAGGTAGGTACTTTATTATTATGAGACCGACATTTAATATGGCTAGCGGTGTGGTTGGCTCTTAATGTCGAAAGAGGACGGTAATATGATTATAAGTGGGGTGAGATTGCTTACTTTCACCCTCATGTGATTGAAGAAAGTCAATAATTAGCTGCCGGAACTAGCTAACTAGTAAAACCCAGCCTGAAAACGCGCTGTATTACGAGCTATTAATAAGTTATCTCCTTCAGCTAAACCATAGACTAACCATCAGGAAGTGTGTTTAATCTATGGCTAAACCTACAGATGACAAATTACTTGCAGTCTGTTACTTTTAATTTTTGTATATATTCGTTAAGTTTTGTATTTTGGTATTTGGAACGATTTGAACTGGCGATAGAAACAGCTGGTTTTAGTCAGTTTTAGCGATAAAACATAACTCCCAGATTTCTTATCCTTACGGAACAGCTGAAGCTAAATTTGTTGTTAATTCTGTCCGGTACACTGTAGAGGTCGTGTTTTGTTTACAATCTGTTTCCTGTTATTTCAATAATTTAAAACCTCATTTTTACAGATAAAACGATCTAATCACTAACAATAACTCGTCCCCAAGTAATATAACTAAACATAAAAAGCACAAATCATTAAATTACCCTAAACAATAGAGACAAAATTTCCTCGACACTAGCGATTATGTCACCGGGCATGAACTAAATACGAAAAACTAGACTAAGGACTTTTATTCTCCTTAGTCTATGGTTTTAGCTATCACTTCATTATATAGTCAGCACTCACCTTTCACTTCTCTCCCTTGAAATACTAAAAGCACCCTGATTATGTCGTTGAATAAATGTCTTCAATTACCAATCTAATTTCAAGCTGCAAAAGTAAGCTCACACATTATGTTAATAAGTCAACCTTCTTATCTATATATATAAAATCCAATGTATGTTTGTATGTATGTTTGTTTGTTTGGCCTTTATGGACTCCGAAACCGCTCGACAGATTGTAATGAAACTTTCAGGCATTATTAAGCATTATTCAAGGATGGTTTGTGTGAAGTTTGGTGCGGCTCCGTCAAAAGGGCTCCGCCCCAGTGGTTCTGGAGTTTCCCATGTTAACCTTATGAGTACTCATTTTATTTAAATGGAATTAAAGAATCTTAACAGCTGGTTCAACTAAGCCATTTGATTCTGTGATGTTCAATAGCATTAAAAAGTTAATAAGTTTACCAACAGGGTGCAGCACGATGATTTTTTTTATTTATGACAACAGCTAATTTGCAACCAAAAGGTAAGTGAGCATAGCGAACGAACTTCAACCTGGAGGCGATTTAGCGTAGCGAACAAGCTCCAACCTAAAGGTGAGTGAGCGTAGCGAACGAACTTCATTTCTTTATAAAAAAGGTTGACAACCTTTATTTAACCTTGAATTTGCCCGTCCAGATATGCCTGTGTAATTGTGCTTGGAAAAGCAAGCGGTGAGCCAGTAGAGTACAAGTACAAGAATAAACTGAACTGACTAATTTTAAATGTAGACATCGGGACACTAACCCACGACCCTGCACATACTGCACACCTCATTGTCTTGGGTTCATAGTCGCTTGCAACCAACGGAGCTACCGACCATCAAATTGATTTCTAATTTTTTTTAACCTCTGTTGGTATTTTGCACCCAATCTTCCCTGGAGGGAAAACGGAACCGCACAGCGGTTAGGAACATTGTAGGTCTCTGGTGACAAAATTGCAAAAAACCGAGGTCAATTTTCCAGTAACCAAGTATCGCACGAAGCCCTACGAGCGTTGTTTACTCAAAACCACAACAGTATAAAGTTGCATGTGGTGGACGGTGGACAACAAAACACGACTTCTGCATCAAGGTCGGCCAAGGTCAAGCAAACACGCTTTCACAAGGAGTAAAACTAATATGTCACCTTTGGGAAAAGAACTTACTCCGTCTTGTGCTCTTTTACCTTGTCATTGACTTTGGATTGCACGTAGACTTTCTCATCCTATTTGTTCAAATAAGAAGGCGGTTCAAGTAACCATGGGGCCTACTAGGAGCTCCTGGGACCTACCTGCGGCCAATGAATACAAACCTTATTACAACAGTTAGGTCGGATGATTAAAACTAGATTTTTCTGTTATTTTGTAAGGTTTTATGGGGAAATCAACATTTAAGTTTAAATTATAAAAAAAACTGGAGACGAAGGATTATTACCCACACCCTAAATATCAGCAATTTCGGACCACAGGCATTAAAAATGTGGGGTAAGATATAAATACTTTAATACTTTTCAATGAAATGGGAAATGGTGACCATACAAAGTGGCTATTTTAAGCCAAGTCTGAATGGAGATGAGTGGCGCGATCTTGTAGTCTTGTTAGTAATAATACTAATATTTATTGGCACAAAACGTACAGAATATTACAGGATGTATGTACAGGTGCTTCGTCATAAATAAAATTGTCCTTATAGAATTCGTCTATTTCCTTCTAGGTTAAATACATTTTAAAATCGTTAACAAAAAATATACTATGTTTATACTAATAAAATTCAATAGTTTAATATACCAAAGGGAAAATTCAACAGTAACTATAACAGAGGATAAAACTAAGCTTACAACTATTTAACATGGTCTTAATTTAGTAACTAAGGCCGACTTATAAATATATTGTAGCCAACATGCCACAGTTCATCACCAGTGCAGTCCCGTTGTGGACAGACCATGGATGTCATGGGAAGGACCATGACAGGAAGTGACAGACACCCTGGGGTGAAGCTGAGTGTGACTGATAACTAACCGCTACATGCAGAGGCTGCTAGCGGAGTATACTTTATGAATACCATCAACTAACTGCACCAACAGTTAGTTTCAATTTCCTAATGGAATATGGGAATAATATAATATTCATCGTTTCCACATGGCACAGTTTTCATAGACACAAGCCGCGATTACATTTCGCATTTGTTTATCTATGCAATTAACTTGCAGTGCTGCAGGTATCATGATTTTACTCAAAAATGTTTAGCTGTGTTCTTTATGTATGTACTCAATAAATAAGACTCAAACGACCCTCTAGGCTGATAATTACTTGTGAGTTATATCACCAGACCTGTATATGACACATTCAGTGGTGTTCGTAAATTGTCCTATGTGAGAACACTCAAAATTTTCACACACAAAAAACAGGTCGCTTACCAATATATAGGTTCTTTGGAAAAATCAGAGTGGTAACACCGTACTCACGCATTCCCGCACCACTACACCACTGCACACCTTGAAATGTGGACGCCATCTAGATGTGTATCTTATTTTACCCAAATATTAGTGAAGAATGAATGGCCTATCTACAAAATAAAATAGTAGGAAGAGGTATTGCCTTTGCGAGCTTGCAAAATCAATCAGAAAGAAGGGAACAAATGTAGGTACCTTTAGTCATTTGTGTTTATAATAAGCAGTGGTGTGTCCAGTGGAGGTTTAGGGGTCCTTAAACATGTTTTTTTACAATTTTTATTTGTTTTCTACAATGAAACGATGATTTTTGTAAATGTCTCTAAAAAGCCTAAAAACAAGAGTATACAAAATTAAATTTACAAAGGTTTTCTAAAGGAAATCGGTCCTGGGTCCAGGTCTTACCATGAGACCTATGGTAATAGATTATTCCCTAAATGGGAAATTTGCAAAAATCAGGTAAATGCTGTGTCTAACCTTTGACTATTAATGGTCTAATATAATTATTCTTACAAAATTAATATTAATAGAAAAGGGACAAAAATTACACAATTTAAAGAAAAATATTATATTTCAATCCTTTTATACACTGAGCATTAAATCATGGAAACATTTTAAACTAAAATGAAATTGAAATTTAAAGAAAGAGTAATTTAACATTAAAACTACTTAATTTAAAATTGATTTGTTTTACATGTCAATCTTTTTCACTCTATTTATTAGTAAGCATAAAGATATAAGTGCAAGGCCAAAAATGTAAATCTTGGTTTGTTAGGACACTATATAAATATAATTTAAGATGTATTGACAATTTTAAAGTACAGTTTAAGTCTCAATTACCCAATTTTTGGTCACCAGTCATTTTGTATTGTCTGAACCAACAATCGCAAGACCAATAGATGGAGCACGCCTATCTAACATTCAAGAAGCTAAAGCCAGGTCCGCCACCTTACTTTAGGATAGAAGCGCTAGATGCCGATGAAAACGGCACCAAAGCTCAATGTTCTGCTTTAAAATAACTCGACATTTAGCCTACTTAGACTAAAGGTAAATCATTGAAACTTTGTATGAGAGATGTCAATAAGTCTAGGACACCATTGGTTCTTATTATTAAAAGCTTAAGAGTTAATATTTTGTATTTAAAATCTTCAAATAAGGTCTGTACTACTAAATGAGTTTTAAAATATGACATGAAAAAGTTCGTCGGCTACTATTGTTTTATTATTTGGTCAGAAAAGTTAAAGTGGTGGATTTTGTAGCTAAAGAGTTGAATTTTTTAGATCACATTTTATTTTTTTATTTTTAGCTGGTGTAGTTTGGTTGTAATTTAAATTGTACTATAGGGGCTACCCGCCGTGCCACGTTGCGTCATGCGGGCAGATTCTGCCTACAACCTCACTTGTAATACCGTTAAGTTTGGAGCTTTACAGAAAAGTTACTAAACTAATTAGAAAAACATGGAGTACATAAAAATTGTCTTCGTTTTATTCTTTGTATTCATCTAAAAATTAATATTTGTTAGCTCTTTCACCAAAATTAATATGACAGTCAGAATATAAAGGAGAGATTTGTATAAAGAATTTCAGAAACTATCTTGTGACTTTGAAAATTCGTACATTGTAAACCAAACGCCAGAACTTTATCAAACTTTAATACGATACGATATACATACATATATGGTAAATTAATTTGTAGCTTTTTTCTTTCGCCCAGAAAGTTTTTGCTGTTAATTGTGTAAACTAACTTTTTCTAAGAAACGGTACACGCTAGAAAAAAAATTAAAAGCTTATTTGGATTGTGTTAGTATAGAAACATTTCTCATACAAAGACGTATTGTCACGGATATCATTGATATCAACTAACATTTAATTAATTGCGCACGCTACTAGGGCTCATCACAGCCGGCAGCCACTCATTTCTCCTACCTGCATGCTAATTTGATAATCCTCACGTCTCATTTTTCGGATGAAATAAGACCTGTGACTGAGTGAAATCCATAACATTATACTTATATTTGACAGATACAGAAGTGATTTTTTTGTAAGTTGTAAAAAAAATTGTGATGATGGTATCAACAAAATATAAATTATAAAATGTTACTGGTTTCAATAGAAGATGCATGTTAAGAGTCCTTGGAGGCTAGCGGCCATCTTAGATTTGCCCGCCATAAGTGGAATGTTAATTTTGTTAATTTCAAACCATCGCTGAAGAGTTATTTACCATCTCGAAATAAGGTTTTCAAACACTAGAGTGATTGTAATTTAAATATCTAGTAAACTGTGAGATTAGGGATTTTCTTTGTAGTTCTTTACGAGTTAGGACTCTTAAGCCTTTGAACATAACAACTGGCATTGGATAAATGTTATAATCTGATGATTCTAATAATGTTTACAATGGTTTTAAAACATGTTTTCAATATTATCTTATCTTTCCACTTAACCTGTCCACGGCAGCATTAGGTCATCATCAAGACTCTAATATAACCATTAAGAAACAAGTATAAGTATACAATTTAAAATCCCATACCAAGTTACATGTTAACCTGATTTATAAAGTCTAACATTGATAATTAAAGTAAAACATAGTTACTAGAGATATATTATGTACAATTTTGGTATATTAACAGGATTTAAACAATAATGACAACATTCAGTACAAGTATATATAGTATTATGTACCCAAGTTAATTGGTTGAATCATTAACATTAGTATGTACATTATTTACAAAAATCTATTATAACATTTTATATTAAAAAGACATGGTACAGCTTGTGAAATGGAAGCTGGCACTTGACCGTCGCTCAAAAACATTATGTGCCATCATTCGGGATGCGTCAACTGTCCTTGCGACCCATTGTTAAGGTGCTCAAGTACAAGAAACACGGACATACACCCCTTGAGTCAGCGGAAATGTTTGCAGTTCAGCCTTTTCTTTATCTCCAACCTCTCGTCAAAACAACCCACACCGAGCCCAAGTGCCAGCTTATGTGTCACGAGCTGTACTGTGGTAATAGATAGCTACCTTATCGTAGGTGATGAAAGAAGATACCAGTTAGGAAGCAATATGTAAGGACTGGAATGCAGAAAAAGGATTCCCTAACTTGTTTGGCAAAGTTTGCTAGCAGTCAACATATTTTTGTCCTCCATTTTGTGTTGAAAACTGCTAGTTAGTGTTGTGGTACAAAGTTGCTCACTTCCATTTATGAATTGTATCCAAAAATTGTACTAAATTAAGTATTGTTTTACATTTTCCACCAATACAGTCCACATTAGCCACTTGACCCCATTGTATTTTTGTATACAACTACTGTTGGCGTTTTAAAATTTAAAATAAGCCCATGAGAGTTTTTTTTTAAAGGTTGTTATTATTATAGGCCTATACAAAGTCTCTGTTATTGCCTTTTTTTATTCAATTGCGGAAGCACAAGTCTAATTTTATTTTGCTGCATTGAGACAAGTTTGGCTTAATGTCTATTATTATTGCATATCATTAATGACAGTTCTATATTTTTCTGACAAGTAATAGTTTTTATTTTACTCTACCGTATATTACAAAAATATTCTGGTTTATGATTTTTGGCAAATTTTCCTATTATGAAGTAGATATTACCGTAGGTGGCTTGATAGGACCTAGACCCAGGGCCATTTTACTTTTTCACTGAAGGTTAAGAGTCCTTGGAGTCTAGACGTTTTAACTCATAAAACAATTTAAAAAATACAAAGTTTTTTAAATGTCTCAGTATACTAGATATTTAAATTAGAATCACTTTGGTATTTGAAGAACAAATATTTTGAGACGGTAAATAGCTCTTCAGCATCTGTTTAGTAATAAGAAAATTAACATTGCTCTTATAGGGGGAATTCCAAGATGGCCGCTGGCTTCCATGATCTCCCTTGGAAATCAATTCAAAACAACAAAGACAATTTTTAATCTCATAGTATACAAGATATTTAAATTATGATTACTTTGGTGTTTGAAAAACTATTTTTGGATTGTAATTAACTATTTAGCAGTTGTTTGAAATCATCCAAGATGTCCGCTATCCTCCAAGGACTCTTAATAAAGGGTCACTGCACCAAAATCAGAGAAATAAAAAAAACACAAAATATTATTATCGACTATATTCATCCATTATCAATTATAAATTAATTAAGATGGGGACGCCACCAAGGTGTGTATTTCAAACCAAGTATGGGTGAAGGATGAGTATAGAACTTTGGTGTGAGGTGATCTGAGTAGCTTTGTTACTGACTCAGATCCAGCAATAGGTCTTATGACTTTATTTCAGCCTCTCTTTGAGATAACAGTCAATTTGGGACGGATTTCAATAATAGTAATTTTATTATTTCAGGATTTCCAAAATCCTAAGCCAGCTGACTTCTATTTAGCGAGTGTTTTGCGTACTATATACATGTCCGGGTTACCTTGAATGTTTTTCTCTTATTTCTGTACAAATTTTATGCAAGTGCTTTTTCTTTGATTGTATTACCAGGGGTAAGTGATAGCCAACAAATATATTTACTTTGTTTTTTTCCTAATTTTAAATCTGGTGATATATTGATAGTTAAGAAGGAAAAATGTAACATTTACAAGGACAAAACCTACATTACAATTGTCTTTAGTTGATTCTTAGGGTTAAAAATTTATAAGGGAGCATGTTTAATCTAGGAATTATTTCTAGTATTGTATGTATCTAACATTAACATTCTATCAAAAAGTACAAATATACCTTAAACCAGTACTTTCTCACAGCAGACTTCCAAACTAAAACAATTCTAAAAATGTCTTTTACCATTTTACCCTGCATTATGTGGTGTCTTATCTCAGTTTAAGCCATTTAATATTGTGTGATATTTAAAAAGTATTCTTTCATTAATAACTTTTTAAATAAACTAAATAGCCTTATTGAACACTTGTTATAAAAGGGAAAGACAAGAAATTAAAACTCATAAAAATTACGCTGACTAGACGTTGAAGTATATATTTTTCAACTCGTTTTCACTGATTCTTTTCACTTCATCTGAAAACAACACGTGTTATTAAAATTTGTACTAAAGTAAGAGGCATGTTTTTAAGTAAATACCGTTTTCAAATTTCTCCGTTCCAGCGCTGCAATTGGCATTTTTGATATTTGTGCCGTGTACGTGCATCTATTGGCAAGCCAGCACCGGAAATTCGGCAACAATCGGCCATGTTTACATCCGGTTTCGAGCATTCGAAATGGTGCCGCCAATTGAGACTGCCGCCGACTGTGAAGCACGTGCTGTAATTAGATTTTTAAGTGTTAAAGGTGTGAAAGCCATTGAAATTCATCGACAGATTAGTGAAGTGTATGGCCAGAACTTTATAGGTGATGGAATGGTACGCAAGTGGGTAAGGGCATTTAAAGACGGCCGCACCAACGTTCATGATGAGCAACTCGCCAATTCATCAGTAATGACAGGTGGCCGGTGGCCACCCAGTGCGTTGCTCATCATAAACGTTGGTGCGGCCGTCTTTAAATGCCCTTACCCACTTGCAAACCATTCTGTCACTCATAATTTTCTTACCAAACACTTCACTAATCTGTCGATGAATTTAAATGGCTTTCACACCTTTAGCACTTCAAAATATGATTACAGCGTGCACTTCACAGTAGGCAGCAGTATCAATTGGCAACATCATTTTGAATGCTCGAAACCGGATGTAAACACGTCCGATTATTGCCGAATTTCTGGAGCAGGCTTGCCAATAGATGAACATACTTAGCACAAATGTCAAAAATGCCAATCGCAGCACTGGAACGGAGAAATTTAAAAACGGTACTTACTTAAAAAACATGCCTCGTAGATACATTTTGATTAAGTTTACCCAACCTAATTCAGTTTTGTGCTAGTACTTTGAAATGAAGTAAGAAGTGTTGAGAATGATTTTACTGTATTTCCAATCCAATGTAATACACAAAACCGTCATAAATCCATCATTGAATTATAAAAACAAACAAAAATACTTGTTAGTTTGGTTTAGTTACTATAAATAAAATTAATGACTTAATCGACACGTAAAAACATCAAATATGTATGAAAATTTCATTTATTCAACTTTTTGAACACTTGTTGGTCTTGTTGTAAAGAGTGCAATACAAAAAAAAAAATGTATTCCTGTCACCTGATAATCACTTCCTCCTTGTCCGAGACGAGCAGAGCCGACTCGAAAGAGCAGGTTGCTTCAATTTTACACATAAAGATTTTCTTAACACTAAAACTAAACTTCTATTGATGAAAAAAAAACATTAAAAAAATATGTAGGTACTACAGCGGTGGATGAATTTGTTGTAGCTATAGTTTTTCATTGAAATATTCTTTTTGGCTGTAGTACTGTACGACTAAGACTAGTATAAATGGGACAGTGTTCACATGACTTCCTAGGAGAGCTACGGTTGGTCTTATCGTATGCATTTTCACTGAGGTTTTTATCCATACTCAAATCTATCTATTTAGTTTTTTGTGTATGCCTCATGACATTTAGATTCTAGAGTATAGAATAACATATTTACATTAGTTATTTAATCATGTAACTTACCACTGATTTCAATGAGGTTTGCATTTTTCTGTTGGATCACCACAAAAAACTCCCTAGCGTTGGACAGTTTTCCCACTACCCAATGGTCCATCGTCGTTTTCACAATTGTTTCCGCTGATGAACTACCAGCCGCTGACAACCTGGACAGTATTTTTGTTCCAATAGTACATAGGTAGTTTAAGAATACCAGCATAGCTTACATATTTAGGTTGTTTTCACAAAATAACTAACTTTAACTATAATTTTGGCAACAAAAGATTAGTATACTACCAATATACAAGGCCAGTCTAGACCTACACCCAGAACCCGCAGCCGTGCCGAGACTTGTATGGCTATACAGTATTATTCCTACTCGTTTTAAACATTTTTAATTGTTTTAGTTTTTGTTATTTATTCCTCACCTTTATGCATTCTGAAGAATTTCTGACAAACTCCTAGGAGCGACAAAAACGTCTAGGCTTGACGATGGCAAAACCGGTAGCCATTAAGACTACCAAGGATTATATTGGCAACAAGGTATGTAAGGTACTCTGGTATTATACCGATCACACTGATAAATTGACTTTCAAATAAGATTTAATTAGTTTAAATAAGAAAATCTAACAAACATAACCTAACCTAACCTAAAACATAGTCTTCTGTTAGGTTAGGTTAGGGTAGGTTATAATTATTAGATGTGGTTAATATAATACCCAAGTACCTTATTTAACTTCTAGATTAGTCATACCACCGGTGTCCAGTGTTGGGAAGTAGCGCGCTACAAGTAGCGACGCTACAGTAGCGCGCTACTTTTTTTGTAGCGTTAGCTGTAGCTACGCTACTTTTAAGATTTTGTAGCTTTAGCTGTAGCTAGCTACATTTTTAAAGTAGTTGTAGCGGAATTTTAGCTACTTTTCTCGCTACATTAACATTGTTTGAGATAGTGATTTTTATCATAACCTCAACCTTACGTGAAACAACCTCTTTTCAAACTGAGATTTTCAAAAAAAATTAGGCCTACTTTCTTGGCTTCACACAGCTGGTTGCAGGTTGCAGCCGTTTCATTCCCTATTACAACGTTGTGTGGACATGGAGGCCATTAAATGAGTGTTGAACACATTTTTGGCTCTCATTTCTTTAATTTACTACTCTATGATTACTGTCAGATAAAATAAAATCGCTAGATGCAGACGACGTTTAAACGTTACCGGTGACAAAAGACGCTATCGAATGCTTGCAAGTGATTGACAGGGAAATTAGTAATAAATTTAGTTTCTTTATTATATCGTTAGTGTTTCAACTTGGGTTTTAATGGAAACCAACTCTAAACCTTAAAATAATGCGAAAGCTGGTCTATCAACCTTTGCTTCTGCCGTTGATTGTGGTTCATCATCACAAGCCCTTCCTTGGTTAGATTACGAAGATTTTTCAAAGGTTTACTAAATTAACATAGAGGAAATTACCTGATGAGATTTAAGATATGCCTAGACTACATGATAATTGTGACGAAAAAATCTCCATATAACATGAAACTTACATTGAAAAAACAGCTCTTGTATAGGACTATTCCTAGGCTATGCTATGGTTTAAGACGAATACCAAGCTCCAAGTTCAATTATTAGGAATATATCTGTTTAGTCCTTGCAAGAACAAGCCTACTATAGCCAACTTGTTACATAGCCAAGGCCTACATGTTATTTTTACTTTACAAATTTCAACATGTTTAAATGAAAAGCCGATTTCAGAATAAGTTGCTGAATGCTGTTTTCTGTACCAACTAGGTTGAAGCACAATTTGCCCTATGCATAATGACAATAAAGGACGATTTCTTGACATTGAAAAGTGTTATTCATAGAACAAGTAACTTATCACTATGGTTAAAAGTTATAGCTATGTCGTTTTTCACATTAAAAGTAAAGAAAGGCAATAAACTCCAATTTCAGTAGGCTAGGCTCTGTAACACAAAAAAGTATTTTTAAATAATCGTTTTACAATATATTGGTCTTAATTGTTGATATAAGACATCTATAAATGGATCTATATTAAAGAAATAAAATGAGCTTTTAAAATATTGTTTGGTTGTATGGCCTTTGAACTTAATGAAATTTACATATAAGATGCTTAAAAATAATGAAATATTTAAAAATAAGTTAGGTACTAAATATGATATGGGACACCCAACTATTTGGTTCTGTTGTTGTAATGTTAGGTTTATAATGCCAACAAATTAAATACAATCTAGGAATAATTTGTTTTCCAAGTAATGTTAGATACAATACTAAAATTTTTTGTTTAAATGTTTGTTCAATAAAAAATGTAGTTGCAATTAATTTTACATTCACCTAATGTGCGTGGAATAAAAAGTAACATCTTTGGAAAAGTAGCTAAAATTGTAGCTGTAGCTACATTTCATTGTAGCTGTAGTTGTAGCTAGCTACTTTTTCGGAACTGTAGTTGTAGCTGTAGCTAAGCTACTTTTTTGGAAATGTAGCAGTAGTTGTAGCTAGCTACATTTTAAAAGTAGCTTCCCCAACACTGTCGGTGTCACACTTGAAGCCTATTTGTAAACTTCTCCAGTTACCAAGTAATTGATAAGAATGTTGCCAACACTGCTACTAACCTTGCGTGCTGAGCGTTGATCTCAGCCAACAGCCGGAGGACCTGAGGGCTAACAGTGACGTCAGAACTCAGTTTTCCGTTACAATGTATTGTACTCTTGGTAGCCAAGTTCATCCTGTTGAAGTAGACAAACCTGTTGACAGTATCCGCTGAGGTAGCCGCAGCGTTAGCTTGTGAACGCTTGACAGACGACACTTCAGGGACCAACTTGGTCAGTCGGGGGCCGAGAAACGTGTCCCACTTGCGGAACATCTCCATCGTCAGTTGTTCATACTCTACACACAAACAAGAGTATTAGTTGTGTGCGAGTGGATTATAATAAATATGAATATCGCATAGCTTATAGAGGCAGAGCATAACCTTTGACTATTGATAAAACTAGACATTCCATCTTCATGGAAGTTGTTGCCGGGTTTCCCCTAAAAATCATTGTAGTTGATGTGAGCTATCAACAGATTGTGCTGATCTAATTTACTAGCTTTTGTTGAACCTTTTACCTTTGACTATTAATACAACAACTTCTGTATCCAATAGTCAATGCTTTTACCAAGTCAAACTAATGGAATGACTTATTGTGAGCTATAGCAACTGTTATAACCTATCAACTATAGAGCAACAAAAAATATGATAGAAAGTAGAACTTTAGACACTAGCACACTCTGTGCAAGCGGTGGTAGTAAATATAATATTTTATAGTTAAAAATCACAAAAGTTGCAATCACTTTTGAACCGTAATTTTTACGGAAATGGGATTTTTACCAATTTGTTCAGATTTTAAAGGACAATAACATACTACATTTTTAGGGAAATTGTTCGGGCCATTTTTTAGAAAATCCTATTTTTCCATTGTTTTATAGGTTTTATGAGAAAATCCCCATTAAAAATTAAAATTTAAAAAAAGAAGAAAAAAACACTTGGAGATACCTTGGATTAGTACCTACACACGGTTGCACCCGCGACTGATCAGTGGGACAATGGAGTTGGGGAGTAGTTTATGTCAATACCTAAAATATCAATGAGTAAAAGGGATCTGAATGTAATAAACAAAATAGTAAACGAGTACCTACCTGGTATAAACAAACAGACGACGCAACAGCCCAGCCTGTATACTACCAGGTGGTACATAGCTGGTAGAGGCTTTATCTGACTAAGAAATACTTTTGGTACCTTCCCTACACTGTTGGTGTTACTGTGGACATTCTCTGGGCCCGTCAAAAACCTGTAACGAGAAATAGCTTCTTGAAAAAGCTTTCCAAAGTAAGTTTGTAAGAGATACATTCGTTATAAAACAGTTCCAATTTGTAAATTACAAGACAAAATGTTGTTCGGATTCCACTACAAACTGTAGGTCCCTTAGTTGCCATTGGCTGCATCAGGGCATAAAATAACATGCTAACTGGGCGACACAAGTGTCACCTAGTGCTGAGATTTTGTCGCAAACAATTTTTTTTTTTTTTGATTAACTTATGCAAAAATTTCCAGGGAGGGAACCCCAGGACCCTCTTTTTGATGGGGGGTACTCCATACACCCCAGACCCTTAAATCCCTTAAAATATGCTCTGGGCTGTATAGGCTATTTATTAACAGCTGTGTCTAAGGAACATGTCAGCCTTAGTCACTAAATAAAACCAACATTCGTATGGTCGCCATTTCAAGATAAAGCATTGAAGTTTTGTATTTACTTGTATATTGTTGTGAAAGTACTTAGAAAAGTTAATTTTACAAAATAGTTTTTCTTTTCTTTTATTTGGCAATGTATACAAAGATTAAGTATCCACACTGCTGACAGTCTTAAAGTAAAAGATTAAATAGGCTCTAAGAAAGGCAGAACATGTCGGTTAGGCCTACTACTTTTTTTATTTTTAGTCTATTCAAACGTTAAATGGTACCTATAACTAGGTTTAATATTTGTGATAGACAGACCTTCCATAACTACTAATAGGAGTTGTTTGTAGAATGCCGTTGTAAACGTCTGATTCCAATATTTTTTCTGACAAGACGCTAGAGACTAGATAACGGTAAACCACTTGCATATCCTCTGGTTCCAGACCACTCCTGAAACAAAGGAAAAACAATAACATTGGTAGCTTTATAAGAGCTTTGTAACTAAACAATCAAAACAGTGCTTCAAAAGAATTCTAGAGTGTTCTATGAATCGCCATTGATTACAGAACACTTTATATTTTTTTTTAATTACATCAATATTGAATAGCCTAAATAAACCTACACTTAGGATTTAAAATAATGTTGCACTGATTTAAAGTGTTGAAACAAAAAAACTCAAAACTTCTTGATATCTCCTTTAACCTTCAATGAGTGTCTTTGTTTTTAAAGCACAATAGGGGACACAAAAGAGTTCTTTTGGGTAAATTGGACAAATATGTTAATATTTTATACATATATTAATACAAAAAGGTATAAAACCCATATATACCAATAAAAATGTGGATTAAATCAATAAAAATCTTTATTGACATATTTATAAAAGACTTAGGAAATAAAACGACAACACCCTAGGTGACACACGGAACAACAATCCATGAACCTAGTGGCCATAGAGGGTATAGGTTAGGTTCCGGATTTAGGTTCCGTGCTACGTACCATCAGCTTCAACAGGTTAGTTCCTATTCCATATACTGATTAATTCCTAATACGGGGGACGGAGGAGAGCGAAATGATGGTCAATCGGTCCCTAGAAAGAGGGGTGTGAGGTTACCTTTGAACTGCCGGCCGGCGATAACACATATATTCTAAACAAAACAAAAGCGCCTGGAGGAAAACTCCTATGAAGGGTTAACGTTACATTCTTTGTTTGAAGTTCATTGTTGGTGATGGTGAGTTCAAAGGTTTATTGCGGACATTTTCCATCACGATGGTAAAAAATAATACACAATGTTTCAGGATCTGGAATCTGATCCAGTCCTCAGGTGAAAAAACTTAACCCTTTGACGCACAGGAAAATCTTGTTATTTGGATTTTTACCGACTCAAATGTTTTTTGATAACCTTAACCCATTGGGAAAGGAATGTGCTGCCTGCAGTGCGCTCTGTCGGCAATTAATTGTGCCGAATTTGTAGATTTTTACTCCGTAATGACTCAAAAACCAATGTTTACAAATATTGTCATTAGGCGTAATTAAATTCCAAACTAAATCGTGTTACATTATTAATATCTATTCATGTACATTGTTAATATTAGTAAAAAGAAAAACATATTGTCTCAACATGTATATAATTTATAATCAAAATTTAGTCATTGGCTTATCAAACAATTACGTAGCCTACGTATTGACACTTTGTGGACAGACTTAAAGGGTGTCAAACTATCGAAATGTTGAACTATAGAAAGTAAATGGAGTTTAATATACAGGAAAGTAAAAATACAAGTTTTATATGGAAATCACCCAAATTTATTAAATAGGTACTAAAAAGCTTAACTATTTCACTGTTCATTAGTTGAGTCTCAAGTCAATAACAAATGACATATTAATGTTTAAGTCAACTTACATCACAATAGTAACCATTAAATATCACTTGACAAAATATTTTGTGATCTTCGGTTGTTTTTCATCCTGATTTCACTCATAAAACTGGAAAGAACTGGTCCCGGTCATTGACCAGTGATCGTGTCAAAACAAAATATCGATCGCTAATGTTAAGACGGGTAGCCTCAGCCCATGTTGAACTACAAGGAGTGTCGAACTATTGAAGGTTTACTATACTATATTATTTGTTTTTTAAGCTCTTTTAAAAAGTCTAGAGTGAAATTGGGATATTTGTGTTTTGAGGACCAAAAAATGAGAAAAACCATTTTTTACCCCATAAACCCCTGTTCCCATGGTCCGATCATGCTGCTTCACGAACCATTCAAGTTTATCCTGCCTTACACTTTTAAACCAAATTTCATCAAAATCGGACATATATAAAAATTTGAACGAATGGTGTTTTTGGCCTCTGGGGACATCAAAATGAAAAAGTAAATCGGTCTCGGGCCTAGATCTTACTGTGCCACCTACAGTAATAGCTACTTCCCTATAGGGAAATTCGCTAAAATAAATTATGTATTTTCATTAATGAACAAAGCTTTTTGCTCAAACTCCCCCATAAGGATGTTGGAAAAGAAAGGCAACAATGGTGACCCCATGGCCATGCTCGCATCTTGATAGTACAATTTACCCTCTAATTGGAAATAGTTACACTGAGTACAGTTGTCGCATTAAGTCTGGTCGGGCGGCCGCGCTAGGGCCCGGGATGTAGGGGGGAGTGTTTATTGCTCATTTCAAAACATCTGGCCCACTCGGCTCTGGGGTTGTTCAGCTGTCTTCATGGTTAGGCGTGGTGGAGGGGGTGGGTGAAACATACACAGGACGGCTAGTAGAGACGGAACCGCGCTCCTAGACTTCTTGCGTTTACTGTACACGGTTTCAAAAGTTCCATTAAACCAATTGTCCATAAGAAACCTAATTTTTTTTAACGTAAACGCATTGAAGCCTCATACATTAAATTAGCAGACCAACCAATCAGTCAGTCTTCGGTTTAAATCAGACCACTTTGGCTACCCATTCTGAACAAGGAACTAAAGGATAGGGAACTTAAATGTTCAATAAATAGGGAAACGAGTTCTCCTCAAAATTCTCAAATTACGTCAACTCGTTGTAAAGCCGTGATAGGAATAAAAAGAATTAACATCCTTTTTTGCAGCATCGTACATCGCTCAGCCGTTTTGTTGGTTTTATTTTTCCAGGGACCGGACGCCACTTCCGGCTGTCTCCGTGTTTCGGATTGGTCGGCCATGATGCTTCAGTCTAATTGGTGGAATCATTGCAAACTGTGCGATTAGTGTCCCATTGTATGGGCTGTTTACCCTACACCTTTTATAGACTATAGTGTTTTGTGATTGGTTATTATTTGCATGTTGTATCATGACTTGACTGCTATACAGTGCAAATTTTTTTTACTGCTGTAATGTGTAATGTACTAATGTAATGTGTTAGTAAAGTTACCTGGGAACGGGATAAGATTCCAGATCCCGAAAAGTTGTGTGTTGTTTTTTTACCATCGTGATGGTAAATGTCTGCAATAAACCTTTGAACAACATTAACATGCATGTTCTACAGTAAAATTTATATTAATAAATAAAATTTACAAATTACTCACCATATTAGACTATCATTATAGAAGAACGAGGTAAATTCAACGACAGGAAACGTTGCCTCTAGTAGATTGACAAAACACTGAATGTGAAGGAATGTTTGCTTATCTAGTGGTAGGAACTTCACACCTTGAAATACATCCATGATATCACAGTTTTGTAGGTTCAGTGTCGTCAGATACTGCAAAACAAATAACCTTCATCATCAACCATTCATTTTATTTTTAAGTTACAGATACATTGATACTTAATTGCGGACAGAAATACCAATTAGTTTGGCCTGCAGCTTTTTGTAAATAAAAAACCAAACATTGTTCTTCATCAGACAGGATTTTAAAATCAGCCTTTGTACATGGCCCCCCTTTGTATGCACATATTAACATTGCTGGAGGAGTACAGAGTATACAGTTTGGCAGCAAGATGATTGCAGTAATTATGGCTACTGTGGCATTAGGGAAACATTGTGTTACTTTCTTAACTACAGTATTGTAAAAGGAAAAAACTAACACAGAGGAGTAAGATACAGAAGATACATTCAATGGTACACTTAAGTAGTGTCTAGCACCAGTCACTTGTATCTAGTTTAAGTTCTATTGGTCATTCCCTTCCGCTCTCCTTTCCCCCCTTACCATCACATACTACAGCGCTGACGCTATAGGAAGAGCCTGTGCGCTACAACTGCTGTTGTAAACAATAATCATTCGGGCTCTTCTTTATTTCCACCCCACCAATCCCGAGCTAAAAGCGCACGGTTGATCCATAAGAATGATTCCACTGTGTCTTACTTCTCTGTGAATTTGAATGATTCCACTGTGTCTTACTTCTCTGTGAATTTGAATGATTCCACTGTGTCTTGAAAAATGGCGGGTGGAAGTAAAGACGACGAGCACTGTGGTGAATGTAATTATAAAGTTACTAATAAAACGGGAGGTATTTTTTGCGGAGGTATATGTGAAAAGTGGTTTTACCTCAAATGTAGCAAAATAACTAAAGAAGAATGCAAAAAAATTGAAGAATTGAAGGGTAAAGCTATGTGGTTCTGCTCTGCATGTGAAAGTGAGGTTAAACGTTTCATAGACCGTTTGAAAAATGAACATTTGAGTGGCAATACCAATGACAATACCAGCTTAAAATTGATCTGGGATAAATTAGACTTGATTCAAACTAAGTACGTTAAAATAGATGAGCGGCTGAAACAAGTTGAAAACTCTAGCAAATCAATTCCAACCCCAAACATTATTGGGAATAGGCCTACCACTACAGACGAAAGTGATCGTTGCACATCCGATTCAAATGTAATGAACAATGAAAATGTTAATATCGAAGTATTAAATGTTTCTAGTGTTTAAAAAATATCTGATGGTTCCAATGATATCGAAACATATGCACAAATAGCAGCCCAAAATAAGACTACCAATCAAGATACCAAGGCTCTGGGTAGGCCTAAGCCTAACCCCCGTGGCAAGTTAGATAAACTTAGCGAAAAAGAGAAGAGGTTATCTGTTAACCATAGTAAGAAAACTGTCGTGGGTTCTAAGCCTAGTGTGGAGAATTCCAATTTGATTTCGGCTCAGAAGAAGGAGTGGGTGTTTGTATCTCGATTGTCACTACAATGCAAACCCGAGGACATTAAGGAACATTTAGAACAGGTGGGCGTTAATACTAGTAACGTGATTTGTGAAGAAGTTAGGACTAAATTCCCTGGCTACAAGTCCTATAAGGTAGGAGTCAACCCGGAAGACGTAGACAACATTATAAAGCCGGAACTGTGGCCTGAAGGTGTACTTGTGTGTGAGTACACATCACCTAGACCTAAACCTAGACCGTTCCACAATGATAGGAAGAGTTTTTTATGGAATGCGAGACCGCAACGCAAAAAGAACTAACACCTCCTAAAGTCCATATGGAACTAGGCCTAGGCCTATCTACCTCAACATCACTACATTGTAAGTCAAATGTCGTAGGCCTACAGCGTAAAGGATCCTGTGTACTTAAATGTTTATTCTTAAATGTTCAAGGATTACAAGGCAAGCTAAATATGTTAGAAATAGAAAGTACAGAAAACGAGTATAGTATTATCTGCTTAAATGAACATTGGCTCGTTGAAGAAGAAGTGGAGTTCCTTAACCTAGACGGCTTCAGAAGTGCAGCCTTTTTTTTCGGAAGAATTTCATTAGGGGTGGTACTGGTATCTTTGTATCCAGCCTGATAAGTTTTGAGAATTTAAAACTGGATTGGCTCTGTGGCTATAGTATCGGTGTACCATTCACCTTCTGGAGACAGCAACATCTTTCTCACTAATTTGGAACTGTTATTAATATTCTTAGATCGTTTCAAGTGTAATATAATAATTGGTGGTGACTTCAATGCCAAATTTGATGTAAATAATAAACTACAAAGCGTGAAGCAGCTTGTCTACACTCTGGAACAATTTAACTGTCATTACATTAACAGAGCGCCAACTAGGTTCAACGCCTGTCTCGACAACATCTTTACCAACATCTCGGAAGAGTTATATTCTTCTAAAGTGGTCTACCCTGATATGTCTGACCATGATGGGCTGGAGCTTACAGTGGAGTTGGTCCAATCTTCTACTCGACCAGAAATACCTACAGTTGTCAATAGAGACGTCTCTTTGAAGCGTTTACAAGAATTTAAATCCAATTTACTACAAATTGACTGGCTGCCTCTGTTAAACTTTGGTAATTTACCTGCTGAGGACTTATTTAATGTTTTTTTCTACACTCTTCTGGATGTTTTTTACATAAGTTACCCGGAGAAAATCGTAAGAAAGAAGAACAAAACTTCGAGTGGTGCAGGAAAATCTTGGTACACACAGGACTTGAAAAAAATGAAAGAAAGGACTATGGCCTATTGTACAATACTTCAAGCTTCTCCTAGCGAGGTGACACTTAAGGCATACAATTGCAGTCGGAAGATCTACAAATCGGCAGTCAACCAGGCAAAACTAGATGCAAACGACAGATCCATCGAGTCCGCTTCCAACTAAAGCCGAACAGCTTGGAACATCATCAAGAAGAGCACAACCAACAATGTTCCGGATGTCGAGGTGGGGATCTCCCCTGAGGAGTTTAACAACTTCTTCATCAGCTCAGTAGAGGAAGCCAGAAGTACCATTGATCAGCCTGATGTGTCTTCAGAGGAACTGCTTCGTAGGTCCGGTCGTTGTGAAGCTCACCTTGAATGGAAATATGTGTCCAGTGAGGAGGTTATAAGTGAAGTGCGGGCCATGAAAGCTTCAAAAAGTAAAGATGTGTTCGGCCTCTCGGGTTACATAATCCGGTATATTCTGAGTGCAATATTGCTTCCTTTGGTGTTGTGTATCAATGCGATTTTTAGGGAGGGAGTTTTCCCAGAAGTGCTGAAAATAGCACGAGTTGTTCCTATTCACAAAAAGGGTTGCAAAAGTAATGTCAAGAATTATCGACCAGTGTCATTAGTGCCTATTTTAGGTAAATTAATTGAACGAATTGTAAAGCACCAGGTATGTACACACTTTGATAGATTTAAGCTTTTTTCTGCATGTCAGTTTGGTTTTCTGAGTGGAAGGTCAACTACGGATGCCATTGATTGCTTTGTTTCTGGGATTTTGGAAGCTTTTGAGGGAAGGAGTCTTGCTCAGGTGACTGCGTGTGATTTGAGCAAGGCTTTTGATTGTGTCGATCATGGTCTCTTGCTGTGTAAATTGGAGCACTATGGCATCCGTGGTTGTCCTCTCCAATTTTTTAAGTCTTATTTAAGTGGTCGTTCACAGTTTGTTGATGCAAAGGGTGTGCATTCCAGGTGCGTTGAAGTGAAAACTGGGGTTCCCCAAGGCTCGGTCCTTGGTCCCCTACTCTTTTTGATTTCTGTCAATGATTTGCCACTTAGTATTGAGGGTTCTCAAACCACAATGTTTGCAGATGATACAACGTTCCTAACTGTTCACCCTGATCTCAATAGGTTAAAGTTATCTGTAGAACATACAATGAAACAAGCTGGGGATTGGTTTAGTGCCAATAAACTCCTTCTTAATGTAGACAAGACACAACACCTAGTTTGCCATACTAAAAACAAAGATTTGGGCTCAGGTGTAATTTGTAAAGAGGTTAGGCCCATAAAAGTCCTGGGTGTGTTGATTGACAGCAGCCTTTCTTGGTCAGCTCACATTGATTTAGTATGTTCAAAACTGTCAAGAGTTATTTATTTAGTGAATAGGTTAAAAACTGTTGTTTCTGAGAAATATATCCGAGTAGCCTATTTTGCATTTTTTCAGTCAGTGTTAAGCTATGGTCTGATTCTCTGGGGTAACGGTAGTAATATAAGTGATGTTTTGTTACTTCAGAAAAAGGCACTTAGAATAGTAACCAAATCAGCTCTCAAAGCCCATTGTAGACCTTTGTTTATAAAAACTAGGATATTGACTGTCATTAACCTGTACATATATGTGTGTTTACTTGATGTTAAATTAAAATTAGGAGACTTGGCTGTTAGAAAAGATTTCCATTCTCATTACACTAGATCTAACTCTCTACTTGAAATTCCGTCCCATAGACTAAGTAAATGTGCCAGTAACCATTCAATCATGAGCTTAAAGTTATTCAATGTATTGCACTCTGAGTCAAAAGCGTTGCCTGAGTTGGTTTTTAAAGATAGGCTATACAACTGGCTTGTTGAACATCCTTTTTATGTGATTAAAGAGTTTTTTGATGTAAAAGTTGTTAAGTTTTGATGTTTAATAGTTTATCTAGTATATTCTCCACCCAGCCTACAGCCTTCTTTTTACTTTTAAACTTTTAATTTTTACCTGTTATTGTCTGTGATATTAGCTTATTAATCTAGTCTGACTGGATTACTGTGTAACCCTATTTTACCATAATATGTGACTATGTCTATTGCAAGATTGTTTTGCTTAATGACAATAAAGGATTTCTGATTTCTGATTTCTTACTTCTCTGTGAATTTAACAAAATCTCACATTTTCTTACCGTGTTAAAATACAGCTCCAGTTTTTGTTTGAGATGGGTGGTATCCCTGCTGTTGGACTCTAATGTGTCGGTAAGCGTGTTGTGGAACAGTCTGTACATGTGGTAAGCCTGTCTGACAACAGCTAGACATACACTATCCTGGACATCTTCTCCGTGATACTTTGTACCCTCTATACTAGTTTCTGTAGGGACATTTACAACCTAAAACACACATCACTTTATCAAATTAATTTGTATTCGGCCAGAAAATGTTCAATATGTAATGAGATCAGTGTGTTCAAAAGGCCAAGAAACCGCTTACCAGGTAGAAAAAAAAAACGCCATATAGCCAGTGACTTTATAATAAAATCCCTTTTTTTATCCTAAATGTATTTCCTGATTTCTTCATTCTGTTTTGAGTGAACGTTTTGAGGTATCATGTTGAAATAGCTCTTATAACATTGCTGTAATACTATGCTGGAATAATTTGCTTGATAAGGGTTCGTTAATATATGAAAAATGTAATGCATTCATCTAATACCACATACGCAACCAACTCTCTCAAGTTGTATAGCCACAGCTCATAAAACTCTGACACAGGTGGTTAGAAAGATGGAATATTGAACCTACTATGTACCTTTATGGTCTCCTCAAAGAACCAAGGTAGAACCTCTTTAATCCTAACAAATTGGGACCGATGGTAGTTCGGACTATTAAATAGTTTGGATTACAAAACAACGTGGCTAAAATGGATCGTAATTGTTATAGGAAAAGTAAAAAAAAAACGCTTTATAAAGGAAAATACAATGTTTGTTTAATACAGTAGTAAACATAGCGAATGAACATTACTGTAAATTGCAATAGAAACAATTACGGTGCTTAAATCAATAAAGAATTACTGTACTGTGTATAGAGTAGAGCAATGAGGCTTTCGGATTAGTGCACGTTCCGACTACGGGGGTTTGGATTAAAGAGGTTCTACTGTAACATTGAAATCTACAAAAACCTATCCAGATCAATAGCATCGTTTGCCTCAAGAGCAAAGAACAGGACATATAATTACACAATCCTATCTCTTTCGATTTAACCTCACAGAGTCACCCCAGTCTCGTTTGTCAATTGAAAGAAGATGCCCTTGAACACATCCTCCTGCAATGTACCAGCAAGTTAGATATGAGAGATGAGCCAAAGAGAAAACTCCAACCTGACTGTTCTCTCAAAAGAATCCTGACTGAGCTAACTGTTGGAGATTAGCAAGCCATGTATGAGAGACACTGTGCGGTCGGCATCACTTGAAGCTCGAAGCATGCACCAAGAACTAATGAAGTAAGTAAGTAATACTAGAGGACCCATGCTGCTCTGCAACGTTAAAATAAATATAATATCCGAGAAATAATTAAATTTATGATTTTTGATTGTGCAATACAGTAGGAACAATGATTCTACCTTGAGCTTAACTAATTCAAACGATCAATAGCTCAAATTAAAGCCTATAATTTACTGATTATTTTGAGTCTTCAGGACCCGTGCTGCTCTTCAGCGTTAAAACAAATATAATATCCGAGAAATAATCAAATTTATGAGAAAAAAATATATAGAAAAACGTTACCGGTACCAATACTGGAGCTATTAATTTTTTATCACATAAAAACCTTATGAAAAATTTTTATGTTGATTTTTCACCTTGCGTTTGCATGAAACTCGTACGATTTGAATAAATAATAGCTTAGATGAAAGCCAGTATTTTACTGAAGGTTCTTAGACTAAAATATATAGGATTATTAATTCATTCCGGTATGTTTTTTCCTTCACATATGTTGTTACTAGAGGCTGAAGATGAGTTTTGATGTAAACTTGAAATATACCACATTTTTTTAGTAAATTGTGATTAATTTATTTTAGTGATGAGTAGCCGACAACCTAAGAATAACATTAATATAGCATTATAAAATTATAACTGGTGAATGTACATCTTAAATTGAAGTAAGAATTAGAAGATAAATCAAATTATGTGTTTTGGTCGAGTAAATATGTAGGTAAATATTTACCGATACTTTATGAGAAAACTTTATGGCAAATCTGTGCGTGCATGCCTTCAATTTGAGACCTCTATCATAAAAATCGGTCGAGTAGAAGAGCCAAATGAACTCAGAAAATCATCCTAACTAAACATACGAAATACATGGAGAGCAAATTTCGTTAACGTGTAAGCCAAGTGGGATTATAGATAAATATATGTCAATGCTTGATGGCAAATCTGTGCGTGCATACCTTCAATTCAAGACCTCATTCATGAAAATCGGTCGAGTAGAAGAGCCAAATGAACTCAGAAAAGAGAAACAAGAGAAAACAGTATGAAAAAAACAGGTATCCGAGTCAAAAATCTTATTTCATCACATTCATCCTGCATTCTGTTTTAATCCTGCATATGGAAGAATTGATTGAGAGCTACAAATAACCTTTCTCATCTTAGAAAATTCACTTGTTCTATAAACTTTAGAAATAGTAGTCTTGTAAGTTGTTGAGTTTATACAACTTATGGCTATTTTTGTTCAGATAACAGACTTAACTTATTTGCATAAACACGGACAATTTCTTTGTATTCGTGATCAAGAGGAATCTTTCCATTGAGGTAAGCCTGTTCCTAATGAAAATAGCTCGTACCTATATTATTTGAATGGAATCAACAAATTATAGGAATATCAACAAGAATTTGACTAAGCATAACACATGTCTACCTGTATTTTTTTTTTTTTTTTTAGGGAGAGGAGGGAAAATGCTTTTACGCACACAGGTAGCCAGCCTGTAGTGTGAGACTCCTGAATCTATCACAGACTACTCACTAAAAAACCCCCCCTACTCTGTTGGACACAGACCTGGAATTGTTTGTCACATTACTTCAAGTCATGCCAACATGTGACCTAAGCCCTCAGGGCTCTCACCGTTTTTGGCATTCAGATGTCTACCTGTTATTGATCAGTAAAAAGTTATTTGAGTCGAAGGAGAATTAATTCGATCTGTGAATACACAGTGTCTTATTTCCGATTCAATTTAGAGGTTAAGATGTAAAATGTGTTAAAGTATTTCCTGTTAAAGTTATAAAGTTTAGTAATTCTCTTCCGTATCTCTTATTTATTGATTTATTTGTTAAAAGTTCAATGTTATACACATTGCCATTTTATAAAAACTTCCATGTAACATATATTGTAAACCTTAGAATAATGCTAAATAATTTTAAAAAGCAATGAATAAAATTAAATGATCAATGAAACATTAACATTACAAACATTACATGACATGAAGTCATTTTGAACTGCGAGAGCTTCAGCTATGTACACGACAAAACAACTACAGTAAAGTACAATGCGCACAGCCGAATGACTAGACCAAGTGTAGTGAGTGACACTGGTGACTTGGGTTGGCAGCAATGCAAAAGCGACTGCGGGCTCCCGCATTGAATAAACGATCCCATATAACAAATTCCATATACGAACCGCTCGCCGCCTGCGGTTTCTAAGTGCAAGCGGATGAATTAACAAACCTCCGTGGGTACCCGCAACTTCTGAAACAGCTCCTATGTGAATAAAAGCACCCATTTACGGCAATGCATTTACAAAACCGCCGCCGGCAACCGCGGTGAATAAAAGGGGCCTAGCCTAATATGTTATGCAAAGGAAAAAATATAAATCAAGACATTAATCTCTTGATTCTTGTTCAAATTTTCCACTGGAATTTTTGTCAGGAAACCATTTCCAGCACTTTGTTTTCTTTTGAAATCTAAAAATAGTGTACCGGTATCTAATTATATTTTCTTCCTAGTGATGTAGGCTACTTATGGACTTGTGGTTGAGAGGAATGGGCACACGGAAGGGACTAAGGCTAAAGGTGTAGTGACGTCATATCTCTAGTGGTTAATGTCTTCTCTTGAGGCGACACGATTACCGTAACGAAACAATGTGATTTCAGTGGCGTCCGTGGCATAGTTGGTAGCGTTTCGGATTGGTGTTCAGGAGGGCCGGGGTTCGAAACCCGCTGGCAGCACTAACTTTTTGTCAACAAATTTTTCATATCAGCAAGTTTGGTTGGTTAGGTTAGGTTATGGCAGTTTAATTTTATAATACTAAATTTTAAAATTAATTTTATAATTAATTAAAAATTATAAGTAATCATTAATTAGATTTTTATCTTATATAGTTTTTATATTATCAGCAAGTCTGGTGGTTAGGTTATGTTATGACACTTTAATTAAATTAAAAATTTATTTTATAATTTTAAAACAATATTTTATAATTAAAAAGTTAATTTTATAACAAAAAATTAAAAATTAAAAATTAATTTAAATTTTTTCAACTTAGCAGTCCTAGCGGCGAACGCTGACACTACAAGATATGTTATCCTTAGTCCCTCCCGTGTGCCCCACCGGTGGTTGAGATGTCTCTGTTGCATTCAGCAAACGTTACAACACGTATTAATTTAGATATAATCTATAGGAAAACACAGTTATATATTTAACAAGCTGTGACACCAGACCATGAGTTTGCTACAACACATACAATGTTGCAACAAGTGAGGTAACATGTAAGATTTCTGCTGTAAGTTGCGTTGCAAGCATGTTGGAAACGTCACATGCTTCTCACCCCTGACCATACAAACAAACTTAAACCGACTAAAATAAAACTTTATTTTCAATACAAAAGTGAATGTAAAGCTTTTGAGAAATGCAAGCCTATCTTTCTAAGATTAATTGTAATGCACATCACTCTAAATTGGACATGTGTTTGGAGATCGACAACAAACAAAGACCCACTCAACATACATTTTAATTTTAATGAATGCATTTTCTACTGAATAAAATGTAAGGCTTCATAACCTACCATAACAAGATAGAAGTCTGGCTCGGGATTGTAGTAGTAATGCCTAGTTTTCTCGGTGTGAAGACTCTCGCACGGTTGTGTTGGGTTGAATGTTCTACAACGGTAAAAACTTATCAACAAACAACTTAAAAATATTTATTGTCACTAGGCAGTAACCCCCTTTTAAATTAACTAACAACTTTTAGTCCATACTGATAAATATAGGTATATATTATTTTTAGCTGATGTGTGCACTAAAATGATTCAATCAGGTAAAAAATTAATTTTCTAGGAACTACTAAATACAATGTCTTAAACATTCTACCCCTTGAAAAAAAAAACATACCTATAGGCTATATTAAAACAGAATCCTGCTCTTCAATGCTTTACCAAATTATTTAAAAATTTAGTCAGACCCTGTAATTTTTTTTATCTCCGGAAATTACTACCATATCAAAATGCTACTACTGGGTCCGTAAGTTTTTGCTGACAGGCAGTCTTGGGCATAATGAGTGCATTTTCAAAGGCTCTACAAAATGTAAATAGCTTATGGCATGTAGGTTAAGGCACTTCGTATGTACGCTATATTTTATTTATTACGGTACTAAGCATGCATTTAACAATGCATTTATCTTACTGGTATGTAAATCTGGTTTGGTAAATAAATGACTTACAACAGGCTAAACAAAGAAGTACTGTAATTAATATTCAAAACACATGTTTGAAAAAATTATCTTAGGCAGGATAGTGACATAGGCCTATTTTATCGTCAATTAAATTTGTCAACTAACTTTTATGAGGTTTAGGCACACACTAGTTTGTTAAGTGAGAAAAAAAATTAATACAAAAAGACTAACTTATTTTAGACAGTGACAAGACTATCTTATCATTAAATTACATTATAACCTAATTGATTTAATTAGACAGACACACCAGAAAAAGTTAAAGGCAAAGACAAGTGAATGAATGCGCTGTAAAGCATTTATATCAATTGGCTATGATTAGCTGGTTATTCAGTCTGGATAGTCTATTAAAAGCGACAATAAGACATCTGGTTCCAGTTTTAAGCCATCAACAAAATGTCAAACAAACCATCGAATAGGCCTATTAGCGAGTGAAATTTACTCTCTTTCGACCCCCACCCAACCTTATGACTTGTAAAAATCAATACTTTGCCAGAATCTTTGCATATTGAAGTAGAATGCCTACAGTTTTACCATCTATTTACAACTACTTACTCTGTAAATTTAATTATTGCTTCACTAAGACCAACATTTTTCATTTTCTCGTCAATGTTAACTTTTGGTGGAAAGTAATACATGATCTTCTGATCCTCCTGAAAAAAGAAATGTCACGGTTCAACAATATAAATATAGCTTAAATACAATAAAGTAAAGCAAACCACTTATGACAAATTACTGGATAGGCTATTCATAAACTTAAAGTTACTTAGGAATAAAATACCCCAAACCTGCCAACTAAGCGAATTTCTATTAAGCCTAGTCTGAATTGATTTTAGGCCGTTAAATCTAGGCCTATTTAAATGACATAAGGTTTAACAGGTACCTAGGTTTGCTGCTACAATGAAACTGATAAAGTGTGTCTTTTAGCAAAATAATATATTATTATAAAATAAATTAATTTAAGCCAAGTTTGATCTAAATATGTCGTTAAACAAGCAAACTACAACATTTAAAATATTGGTAATTATATCGAGCTCCGGACCTGACACGTTTTTTTCAAAATGGTCAAAATTAAACGATGATTTCAAAAGTGAGTCATTTTTAGCGGAAACGTCCTGTTTTCCTGGAATATCGGAAAACGGGGAAATCTCCGTCCCTCTCACGCGTTCACAATTCTCAGCTGGCCTGCTAATGAATACTCACACCTTTGTTATTAAAATTATGGCCTGCTTTTCCGGGGATATCTATGAATGAACAGCGGTCAGATCGTTATAAATAACTTGTTACATATTCTTGTTGAGGATGAAATTCAGCACAATTTGAGTAAATTACCCACAACATGGGTTTTGAGCACAAGAACATTTTTCCCGTTTCCCAGGAAATCGAGGTCGATTTTCCAGGGGTCGATATAATTACTAAAATATTCTCTATAAGAATAACATGGAAATTTTAAATTTAACTTAATTTTTAAGCTCTTTAAAAAGATCTAAATTAGAGAGAAACTGAGAAATTTTGTGTTTTGGAGAACCTAAAATGAGAAAAACAAATTTAACCCCCATAAGTTAAAATCCACCCGCAAACCCCCATTCCCATGGTCCAATCAAGCTGATTTGCGAACTAATTCAAGTTTATCCCGCCTTACACCTTTGAACATAAATAGAATGAAACGATTGAATAAAAAATATTGACCTTATAACTTGGTTGTTTTTGACAACAGATCAGTTACAGAAGTCTACCCACATTCAGTTTCAAAGTGATCCTTGCTTTCGCTTATATGAATTCAAAATTTAGGCTGGGCCTATATGAATTTCTTTAATACAGTATCATTGTATACTTACTTCACCCTCAACATTGCCGTAGGAATCATTGTATACATAAAAGTATTTTAAAGACAAATCAGACATCATTTCATTCTGATTTCAGAAATTAAACAAAGAGATGTTGATACTTGATACCTGTTGATAAATACGTTTAATACTGTTTACCAAAATACCATAATGATTCAACTAAGTAAATGACACTTTAACCCTATCAAATTGTGTAAATGTAAATATAAACTTTAGTTTAGGTCGGGATAACCTAAAAAATAAAATCCAGAAACAGAAACCCAAACCCCTACACCCAAACGGGTCTGACTTAGGGGAGGTACAAATGAGGCATTTAGTTCAAAATTCCTCCGTGAACAGCGCTGTAGTAGAGAGCACTTTGGCAATGAAGGTTTTACTAATCGCAAAAATAATTCTGTTCATAAAATAAAATTATAAATGCCTCAAATTCAATTTTATTATTTTTAAATTATAAAATTAAACTATCATAACCTAACCGAACTAACCAAACTTGCTGATAAATAAATAATATAACAAAAGTTTAGTAATCAGAAAAATAATTCTGTTTATTAAATAAAACTAGAAATTGCTCAATTAAAATTTTATAATGACTTAATAATAAAATTAAACTGTAATAACCAAACCAAACCAACCAAACTTGCTGATAATAAAAAAAATCTTGGACAAAAAGTTAATGCTACCAGCGGGATTCGAACCCGGGACCTACAGAATATCAGCCCAGCACGCTGACCATTAGACCACCGAGGCCGATGGCTATCAATCGTTTTGTTACGGTAATGGCGTTCCCTCAGCTAATAAGAAGCCCTCAGCTGTCATCGTAGCCTCTTCTATACCTCCCCTGAGTAAATACCAACCAAAACCCTCCCAACAGTGCTCAGTCAGTGTTGCCACCCACCGGCTCCGAAATCCCTCATCACATCACAAGCATAAAAAATCCCGCTTTCGCCTCACTAATCCGTGCACTCTGTAAATTAACCTAAGGCTATAGTATAGTGCAAGAAACTAAAGTTTTCCATTCATTTTTCACCTTCATCTCTATAACGAAATCTAACACTCAGGAGCGTCATTTAGGGGGTAAGGGGGCATGTGACCCCCCCCCTGGTTCCTGGGCTAGGAGTAGTAGGAGTACCTGTTGTTGCTGTTGCTGAGCAGGTAGAGGAGATGAGAAGGGCATATTACCAAAGTGTCAATCTGGCTTCAGAAAGAACTACAGCACTTGTACAGCTTTGCTTAACTTATTCAGCGATCTTTCTTTACGAAGCTAAGGACAAAAATAAAAACTCCACACTTGTGTTCCTTGACTATTCTCAGGCTTTCGATTATATTTGTCACGACTTGTCAGGAAATTAAAATGCTTAGGTTTTGATAGTACATCCTTGGATTGGTTTAAATCATATTTGGCTAATCGGACACAAACGACAAAACTTGGATTGAAAATGTCAAACGTCCTTCAAAAAAGTAGAGGAGTCCAGGAGTCCCGTAAGGTAGCTGTCTTGGCCCTCTATATTATTCAATGTGTACACTGCAGACATTGCAAATAGGGTAAAAAACTGCCCCATCCACGTACGCTGATGACTGCCAGCTGCTATACACATACAGTAAAAATTATGTGGATGAGGCATTTGAAATTTTAAATAAGACCTAAATCTGTGGAAGAGTGGTCCATGAGACATGGGCTGAAATTAATTGAACTTAAATAAGTGCTCTGTTCTCCAAGTTGCCCCTCCTGACTTGCAGAGCAGAAGGCAGTCATTCGATACAGTTCAGATCTGATCAGATTTCGATTTCAGAATCAGTTCAGTTCAGTGTCAGTCAGTTAGAATAGAGAAAGAGAATAGAGCAGAGTGGAGTCGAGGTCGAGGTAGTGTAGTGTAGGTAGGGTGGTAGAGTCAGAGTGTAGTAACTAGTAAGTACTAAGTAGTAAGTGGTAGTGGTGGTAGTTAAACGTGAATACAACGAACGATAGGAAGCTATTAATTTGTTGCTTTCAGTTTCGAAATAACTTTTTTAAACTAAGTTAGGTTAGCTAGCTGCTAGCAAAGATCGGGCTTATGATTGATTTAAATTAGGATGTTGGAATTGTGAAATTCTTGGTGAGTTAAGTCAAGTAATAAGTTAAGTTCTAGGTAACTTACGTAGAGGTTAACTGTAAGAAAGGACATTAGGTCCTAAGTTTGCCTCATTAAAGAAGCATTTTCATTTCATTTTCATTTAGCCTATTTTAATTTCATTTTTACTAACAAAAAACATATCAAAAATTTATTTTTATTTTTTCCTCTAATTTTTCCTGTCCTATGCCATGATTTTGCCCGTCCGGGAAGGGTTAAAGTTGTGTTAGCGAATTTCCCTATAAGGAAGTAGCTAATTACCATTACCGTAGGTGGCACGGTAAGACCTAGGGAGCTTTGACCGATATAATTTTTCAATTTGATGTCTATAGAGGCCAAAATCGGCTGCACTTTACTTTACGTCCTACACTATTCGAATACAAATCTATCGATTATTCGATAAGTTTTATCGTTTGGTTAACCTAACCTAGAACCAACAAAACAATATATTGAATGAAACAAACGAATAACTTTAGAATCAATATTTTCTTTCAAATGAGTGTAGGTAGTAAAGTAAAGTGCAGCCGCCAAAAACACTTGCTAACTTATTCATTCAAATTTGTATTTCGGTAGGACTTTTTTTGGGATACCTATATTTATAAACGTCCGTAAGAAATTTTTCTCTGATTTTGATGAAATTTGGTTTGAAGGTGTAAGGCATGATAAACTAAGACCTCATGAAAGCTGGAATAGAAGAACTACAATTCAGAAAGCAGACTTCCTGGCTACACTTCGAAAAAAAGAATACTCACTATACGCAAGCATACCCTAAGTTACATTAAATTACACAAACCAATTTTTTAGTAAATGACAAGTTAGCTAGTAAGTCAGGGACGAACACTAAGACACCAAAGCTAACTTAGGTTAAGACACGTCACATGAAAAGTTTTTAGGCTAGGATAGTTAGGTCAACAAACCCAGATAATTTCCAAAGTGCGCTCTACCAAAAACCTGCTAACCTCAAAGACCTCCAAGGCCTTAAAACCTGCCTATCCAAAATGACCAAAAATACTTTTGAAGCACCACCTTGTGCTAGCCTATATATGCAAACTACATGTTAAGGAAAATGACTCGGAAACCCTTCAAAACCACAGTCAGTCAGATCAAATGAAAAAAATTATTGAAATACTCATTGAAGACATTGCATCCCTTCAGAAACAACTCGAAGACCAAAAATCAGAATCCAATACCTCTCTGAAGGCAGGAAACCAATAACCCATCTGAAGGCATAGCAATTAAAATGCAGGTTATCCAAAAAATGGAACAAACCATTCGAGACTTAATAAATGGCGCAAGTCTGACAGACTCCTTAGCTAGGCAGTCACATCACCTAAAGTTGCCAGAAACCCCCAGCCTCCACGACCCCCACTGCGGGTTGAAATGTGACTTCGGAACTTGCTTACAAACTTGTACTAGGAAGCTACGGACACACAAACTCCACAATATCCACAGATGGAGGACCTTTCTTGACCCAAAAATCAAACCTCTCTAACAAAACAACCCCCGACAACAACAAATCCAGGCCAAGTAGATCCTATAAATGAACCCCAGAAGAAATAGAGAACACACAGGCAAAAGCCCTTCTTGTTGGAGACTCAACACTTCGCACAGCGGCTAGCATTATCTAGGACAACTACAAAATAAATGTGGACAGTAAAATTATACCAGGGGGATACATCGAAGACCTAGACCAGCTATTAAACTAAACAAAATGCATGCCTAGAAAAGTAATTATTAACCTGGGATCTAATAATGCTCAGCACGTCAAAACCCCCAATCATGCAATGAGGTCACTGTGGCTGGCCATTAAGCTGCACAGAAACTTCACCCAACTACATAATGGTATGTGAATGGAATCCTACCTAGAAGAGACACTAGAGGAACATATATTAAAAAAAAAGGCCTAAATGAAGCCTACAGATTCATGTGTGAGCAGCTTAAGATTAATTATAAAGACTCAGGTGCTATTGTTGACACTTCCAACTACCAAATGATGGTATCCATCCTAATCTAAAAGGTGCAACAGCCCTGGCACATCTCATCATTACAGAAGCTAACCTAACCTGCCCGCATCCTGCACTCGTCAGAAACGACAACAGACACAGTAAGACTATCAACCAGCAAGAGGAAAACCTTGACACAGGAGGTTGAAAATACCCCTGCCGCAGCAAACCTCTGATTGGATTTACACTAAAATGTCTCCTAAAAAATATCACATTTATTCCCTATTTAAATAACATTAGTTTAACGATTACGTAGGTTTGCTGCAACAGGGAGGGCAAAAAGGTGTTTTTTTGTAAAATGTAATAGTTAACAAAGAAATTAATGCTTTTTCCAAATTTGATCAAAATATGTTCATAAACAAGCAAACTACAACAGTTTACTTATTTTCCATAAGAATAACATGGGAATTTTAAATTTAGATAGATTTAGATAAATTTAAATAGTTTTTTGGAATTTTCTCCGTAACCATTAGGCGGATCATTTTCAAATTGAATGCAACTTTCAAGTTAAGAGTGGATTAAATAAAAACTTTGCTAGAGCCCCTTTGTTTTTACAAACAACATTTCAACATATATTAATAAACACTACCTAATAGAAATTTTTTCAGTTTATCCAGTAATTTATGATTTTTTACTGCTTTTTATTGGGTAATACCCTTAAAATGTCATGAGTGTTACTGTAATAAGATTATGGAAAAAACTGTTTCTTTGAATAAAAAAATTTTATACTTGAACAAAATGGTGTCATAAATAACTTACTAGACCTTATAATATATTGTTTTTAGAATTTTTTTATTTTATTTTTTGTTATTAACCTTTTATGTGTCAGGAGTGTTACCCGACAGCAGAAAAGAAACTATATTTTTTTAATTTACTCAACATAACCAAGAAAATTTCAATCGATTATCAATGATTGTTGTTAGTGTGTATTGATATCTTTCCTTAATATAAACAAACGACTAAATATACAAACTTAGAGTTTTCTATACTAGTTTTTATTATTTTTATATTCAGTAACATTCATGACTGTAGGTAACACTCATGACAATAAGTAACACTCCTGAATTATACATTGGGAATTCAATAAAATAAAGCCAGTTTTTAATTATAAAAGTGTATTTTCTAACAAAAAAAGTACATAGGCCTATATAAAAGTTTATATTTAGTTATATTATTTTTATATTCAGTAACATTCATGACTGTAGGTAACACTCCTGACAGGTAACACTCCTGACTAATGTTACTATTCAATTATAAAAGTGGACTCTGGGTAAAGACCAGAATTTGGAAGTTAGATTTACATTCATAGTACATCAACACTAAACAACTGATTTAAGTAAACTTTTCTAAAGTATGCATATCACTTTAAAAAAATAGTAACACTCTTGACAATGAATTAAAATACTTACCATTATTAAAACGTATTCTTGATGTATTCTGGTTTTCTTCTAACTTAAATCATAAACTTCCACATTGCTGGAAACTAGAAACAATATGGCTGCTTATTGCCAACAAAACAAAACAAAATTTCCCTTTTTTCCCTGTTTTCATTGGGTAACATTCCTGAAGTAACACTCAGGACCGATTGTGGGGGGGGTGTAGGCTTTCTGCCCATACGATAATCCTATTAGTGACGCTCGGCTGACCTGTCAGGGCTACCCGTCCCTGCGTTGGGGTTGAAGATGAATAAGCGTAGGACAGTGGAGGGGGTGAGACGCCAATGTAGGGGAAGTTAGTGCGAGTTGGAGAGAGTGAAAGTGATGTAGGGTGAAGAGAAGGAAAGAGGTAAAAATTCAGCCATAAGGATCGAGCTGATCAACAACTCACCCCATTACATTGTGATCCAATGGTGTTTATAATTTTTTATGTGTTCAGTGGCGTCATTCGCCTATTAGGCGGCCTGATGATTGGAGTGTTCAATCTAAATCAATAACCACTTGCCTCCATTTATGTAGGCAAATAGTACCTAATATCCACTGTAAAAGGAAAATACCCCCGCCGCAGCAAACCTGCAGACTAAGCGAATTTCCATTCGACTGATTGGATTTACACTGAAATGTCTACTTAAAAATATAACATTTATTCCCGATCTAAATAAAATTAGTTTAACAAGTACTAGGTTTGCTGCATCAGGGAGGGTAAAACTGTTTTTTTTTTTAATGTGAATAGTTAGTAAGAAATAAAAACATTTTCCAAATTTGATCAAAATATGTTCACAAACAAGCAAACTACAACAGTTTACTTATTCTCCATAAGAATAACATGGGAATTTTAAATTTACAATTTTTTGGAATTTTCTCCGTAACCATTAGGCGCATAATAACTCTTCAATATACTAAATTATTTGTTTTTTTAAGCTCTACAAAATGGTTTGGAAAGAAATTGCTAAATTTTATGTTTTTTGGGTCAAAAATGGGAAAAACCTATTTTCACCCCATAAAACCCCCCGTAAACCCCCGTACCCATGGTCCGATCATGCTGGATCGCGAACTCGTTCGAATAAACGTACGTTTACACGTTTGTACCAAATTTCATCAAAATCGGATCATTTTTGCTCGAGTTATCGTGCTGACGGACACACACACACACATATATATATATATATATATATATATATATGAATTTGAACGGATGGTGTTTTTGGCCTCTAGGGACCTCAAAACGAAAAAAAAATCGGTCCCGCGTCCAGGTCTTACCATGAGTACTACGGTAATAGCTTATTCCCTATATGGGAAATTCGCTAAAAAGAACTGTTGCGGAGGACCTTTGCGGTAATATTTATTTACCGTATTCTGAGTTAACAGTATATTGTGTAAATAGCCTAAATGTATCAATAGTGTTTTAGACCTCTCAGTACATACATTCTGTGCTTTAAGTAAACTGTTGATTCTTTATGAACAAATTATTACTAATATAATGGTTAAATTATGGTCAAATTTGAAAAAGAAGTATTTTATTCATAAAAAAGCCAATTTTTTTATT